TATTATTATTATTATTATTATTATTATTATTATTTCTATTATTTTTTATTATCTGATAATAAAATTAAGTTATAAAAAAAACACGAGGTATTTGCCAACTATAAGAACATTGATAAATTTAAAAAAAAAATTTAAAGAACGTGTAGATGAGAATTACTGATTAGTTTTGAACAAGTTTTAATTTTAAAATTTCGTATTCTTGTCATTTTTTTTTAAACGTGCCAAAAGCATACCTAATTATAAATCTACTGGCGCCATATATATAATATTCTTTCTGCAAATTTACAGATACTAAATGTTGTACATTGCCAAAGAATATTGCGTTCAAGGAATTAAATAAATTATCTATTCAGAACTCATCTGATAATTTGATTTCGAATATTTATAATTTTTTTAATTTTTTTTTTTTTTAAGTTTTATTCAAATAAATATTTATTTGTATCAAATAATTATTTATTTGAGTTAATTAGGTGGTATTTATTTTAAATACAGAAATTATTGATTCAAATATAAAGTTTATTTAATTCAATTATTTTGGTTTCAAAAATTATTTGTTTCCCAAGTAAATTATTTATTTGCTAATAGTCAAGTAACTGATTATTTGAATCAAATAAATTTTTTTTATTATAATCAATATTGTTCCACGAAAAAATGAATTTTAATGATGAAAAAAAAAAAATTATCCTAACGAAAGTACTTTTAGCATAAAATTATGACACTGAAGTTACCAACGTTGAATCGACGAAAAGAATTTTTTTTTCCTAAGATTGAATATTTCCCCGCCTTAATTGAGGATTTTTAGTATTTAAAGATGTATTCGGGACCAAAATAAAGAAGTTTCAATTTAAAAAAATTGGTTCTTGGCCTTTAAACTAATCTGAAAGCGAAAAATTCGTTCGTCGATTCGTCGAATCAACGTTGGTAACTTCAGCGTCATTAAAATTTGGATTTTCGAATTATCATGCTAGGATATATATATATAGAATTTATAAATTGTATACTGTTACTTGAGATCAAATAGTATAGATACAGTGTAGAGTGTTGTTATCAAGTTTCACAAACTATGCAATATAAAATGACCATCTTTATTATTATCGTAAATATGAACATTCAGACTAAACAGACTGCAATCCTGACTCTAGAATATATAGACATTTTATATTTCATCACTATTCTATGCTTCAATTATATTCAATTATTTTTCGCTTTCAGTCTAAATAAAGTTTCAATTATCCCGCAAATAGTTTTTTCTTGTAATTAACTTTTTTTACTAATTTTAATCAGATTATTTTAAATTAGCCCCAATTTTAAACTAAACTGGAAAAAAAATTTTTTTTTATTTAATTCAAATAATCGATTACTTCACTATTATCAAATAAATATTTACTTGCGAACCAAATAATTTTTGAAACCAAATAATTGAATTAAATAAACTAAAAAAAATTATAATTATATTGAAGAGTTATTAATTATTATTTTATTATTATTTTTATGTTTTTTTATTATTATTTTTATTATTATTATTATTATTATTTTTATTATTATTATTATTATTATTATTATTATTATTATATATTATTTATAGTGATAATGCAAAAAATTTATTAGCGGATGTACGCTATTATAAGTTTTTCGGCACACTATATACATGCGTGTGGGTGTATACAATATTCATTTCCGAGTGGAAACCCTCAGGGCAAAAATTTATATATATATATATATATATATATACAGGCGAATGCTAATAAGATGTCTGTCGCTCTTGTTGATGATGATCAGCTGCGCGTGTACAATCTGGCGCGGAAAAAAAAAATGAATCGCCAAATTAAATTCCTGAATTCGACATGCTTTTCGAAATTTTTTTTAAGTATAATTTAATAATAATTCCTCGGGCAGTATTATTACTCCTTTCAAAAACCGGAAAGTATGACCTCCTGCAGTCACAATTATATACATATCATGATCTCAAGTATCCTGTATATACGAAAATTTATATTCATTTTTTTGCCGAATTTTGAATTTTTTTTTATCTTAGAATTTGATTTTTTGACCTTTTTTTTTTAGTAGATAGTTTTATTGATACAAATAAATATTTATTTTTGTATCAAGTAATTATTTAGTTGTATCAAATAAATATTTATTTGCTCTCTAAATCTGAATTTAAAAATGTTTACTAATTTAAATTAGTGACTTTATTTTTGCTTTAGAATTAGTTAAATTTGATTAATTGTTATTAAAAGTTACTAATAATTAGTAAAATTTTACTAATTTTGAAGCAAAAAGTGAGTCACTAATTCAAATTAAAAAACATTTTTACTAATTCAAATTAAGAGAGTGTATCAAATAATTATTTAGTTGTATTAAATAATTATTTATTTGTACAAAATAAATCTTTTTTTCAATTCATATATAAAATAGAAAAAAAAATATTGGTACATATGCAAAATAACAAGACATATATATATTTTTTGTCTCTGTTTGAAATCACACCTAACATGAAACACCTTTCTCTCTCTCTCTCTCTCATTTTTTTTTTTATCTTACTATATTTATTTTTCGTCCCCTTTTACTGACAAAGCATAAAGTTTAAAATCCTTTCGTTCTCTTTGTAACACAAGAGAGCAACGTATCGCTATTTTTTTTTCTCTCTCTCTCTCTCTTGCTTTCAAGAGAGGCTCCTGTAACTTCAGATTGAGATTCGCGATCGTTTTCAATGAATAGCTCTCTGAAATATCTTTCAGACCATAAATCTTAAAGACGCGCGCGCTACTCTTTCACACTTACACGGTGGCCTCTTTGCATTAAGAATACAGATATTACACGGTTTGATATTAGTTTCTTGAGCCAAAAAAAAAAAAAAAATAAAAATGCACAAATAGAAGTGATGATAGTGCTCCACGTTTTTAATCCTAACAAAAAATAAACGAAAAGGTTTTGCTCCTTTTTTTTTTTTGTTTTTAATTAAGACTCGAAATCGAATCGTGATTAGTAATTATCGTATATAATAATAATAATAATAATAATAATAATAATAAAAATAAGGATAATAAAAAAATAATAATAAAAATAATAAAGATAATAAAAAAATAATAATAGTAATAATAATAATAAAAAATATTAAATAATAATAATAATAATAATTTTCAAATATATACAGTGCTTCAAGGCACAATTAATACGCGTGTGGTAAATAAAAGGTGGATCCAATTTAAATGAGAAATATATATATAAGGTCATAATTTAAATTTACAGACCGAGAGTATGTTTCTATCAGGACCAAATTGCATGATTTTTAGGGAGAAAAATAAAATTATATTTTAATGATCATGAGAATTAACGTCGGTAAACTTCAAAAACATTTATATTGGATCAACGCTAAAAAGAAAATATTATTCATTTAAACAATTTTTTTTCATTTAAAAATTATTGATTGAGAAACATTTTAAAAAAATATATCTTAAATTCTGGAATGGTACAAAATAATTTTTTTTGCTCCATAATTTTTTTTTTTACTCCAAGAAAAAATACCTTAAACAATTAAATAAAATTAAACAGCATCTCTGTATTATTTTTTACTGTAAAACAACACTTATTACCTTCAAAAAAACCTACTAGTTAAACCTAAATTGCAATAAAATAAGAAAAATCAATTTTATTCGATTTTTTTTGATAGAATGTTTTCCTGGAAAATGAAAAAATACCTTAAACAATTAAATAAAATTAAACAGCATGTCTGTATTATTTTTTTACTGTAAAATTTCAAATACTCCGCAATAGAAATAAATTAAATTGATGCTAATTTGAATTTTTTTCGCCCACTTCTTTTATTATATATTGCAAATGCTACCGTTTTATTTTAATTCATAAGAAGTCATAAATTCGAAAACGATGTCTAAATATATATATATATATATATATACATATATATATATATATATGTGTAAAAAATAATAAATGTTGACATTACAATTCAACAACATTTCGTTCCGCTAACTCATTGTGGGAGATACCATCAATGCTGCACTGAGGCATAATTTTTCTGTTATAGTCTAAGGATAAATGAACAGGTTTTGTAATCGAAGAACGAAACATTGTTCGTATCAACAATAAAATTTAATTCTAATTCAACCTACAATAATATTATTTCTCTTTAAAGTAATCTGGAATATTGTGGGCTTTTATTATTGTAAGATCTCTATAAATAATTATTTCTTCATTTCACGCCATGTAAATTATATAATTAACAATTTTTATCATTTTTTCTAATCAAAAAGAGAAAAAAAAATTAATTAATAAAAATATAATTTTTCCAATAAAATAGTTAATTGTTATTTTATTTTTAAATATTATTTTCCATATACTGAATAAATAAATTCATTTGATACGAAATGCGTGTGTAAAAATGTTTATAAAAAACGAGGGAGATAAAAAAAAAAAAAAAATTGCAAAATAGAAAGTTGATGTCACACTTTGAGTGACTACAATGCAAGCTAGTGATTGTAATTATTTCCTAATGTTATATTGAGAACTCAATTGGCACGATCGAGACATGTACATGTTTATCACTAAGTTCAAAGACCGGAACGAATAATCTGTTTTTAAAATTACAACGTAACCGACGAGTCGTTGAATAAGCAAAACGTTCCTGTAACATTTACATTGTAAAACAAAAGGAAAAACATCCAAATAACACCCTTTTGTGTTTAATAATAATAATTTTACCATAATTTCAAAGATCAAAAAGAAACGTTTTTATTATTGTCTTTATTCAACTATTTCTATTTTTATTTTTTTTTTTTTTCTTAAAAAATAATAAAATTTATTTCAATATTTGTTTATTAATAAATTAATTAATTATAAAATTAATTATTTTTTATTTAATTACTTAATATTTCCCGATAATAAAATGGAATTTTTTAAAAAAAATTTGAAAAAATATTTTCATTTTTTAAAATATTTTTTATTTTATTTATTTATTTTGTTTGTTTTGTTTGTTTCAGACAACGAATATCGAGGGAAGTAGTGTTGTGGAAAAATTAACATTTTACAATCACACCGAATGTGAATGTCGAGAGAGAACCGAATTGGGTGGAAAAAGTGAAAAAACATCGGAAACAAGATTTGCAAGACATCATCCTCCATTAACACCGCAAAATCTTCGTAAATCACCTCCAAAAAAACCGTAAGTTTTTGTTTATTGTTTTATCGAAAAAAAATTGCCCCCCAAAAAAAACCGAATATATTTACCATTGAGAGCAAAAAATTAATTTATCAATTTCTTTTTTTTTCACTACAGATGTCAATGTCCTTCGGAATTTTTATCGGAAATTAATTCCAAAGGCGAATGTCAATGCAAATGCTCTGACAGCGATCAAAATTGCATTCGTACAAAACGTGGCAAAGTTTATTTCTCAATTAGAGATCGTTTGTAAGTAGTTGTTTTTAAAAAAAAATTTTTATTGTAATATAAATTTGATTAATAAATCAATAAAAACAAAATAATAAAATAAAAAAAAATATTTATGTGCAAATTTTAATTTAATCGAAATAATTTTAATTATAATAATTTTAATTAAAATTATAGTAATTAGGATAATTTTAATTAAAATTATTATAATTGAAATTATTTTTATTAAATGAAAATTTACACATAAATATTTATTTTATTTTTCTGTTTTTAAATTAAAATTCTTTTAATTATCATAATTTTAATTGAAATTATTTTAATTACTAGATACTTTTAATTAGAATAAATTAAAATAAAAATTACAATAATTTTAATTAAAATAATTTGAATCATAATAAAAATGTGAATATTAATTTTCAGATGCATTCACAATGGACATTGCAGTCCGCCAATATGTGAATTTGGAGAATATATGAGTCGTCAAGGTAAATGTCCAAGAAAACAAGAACAATTTAGTTTCTATTCAAAATATCAAACAAATACACATCATGGATTTAGAAGCTAGAAAAAAAAGAAATCATAAAACACACGCATTGTTTCCTTTATTATAATGTATCGGAAAAATTAATATATGGAAACAATATTAGTGTTCAGATCTACGTGCCAAGTAATAGCGTATAAAAGGTGCCATTTTTTTTTCTATGTGCCTTTTTTTTGTCGCCAGAGACTTTTATTATATAATGTATATTTAAATCATAATATAATCGAAAACTCACGAGATATTTTTGTACTATTTGTGAAAAAAAAAAAAAAAATTATAATAATAAACTTTATTCTAATTCGCCCCATCTTATACAATTATTGGCCTGGATGCCATTTTGTAAGAAAAAAAATTCAATTATATATAAATATCTATTAAATAATGTTAAAAGAAATTTAAAAAAATAAAATTATGTACACGAATCTAAATTGGAAAAAAAAATTCTTATGCACAATGTAAATGTTGTTATTTAATCAAACTAAAAAATTTATCAAATTTGTGTCCACGTATTTTATATAGTGATGCTTGTATTTTTGTTTTATTATAAGAAAAACTCTTCCTATTGATTTATTTTATTGAAGAATTTCTTTTCTTTTTAAATATTCTTCTTTGGTGCTATTTTTATAATATTATCATCATTAATTATAATAAATAAATTTTTAAATTAAATTCCACGATTTTATAATAGAAAATTGTATATATAATACATTTTTTGTTTTTAATTTTTATCGTAAAATATTAAAGCAATCTCATTGATCGCACACTATTTGGACCAATTTTTCTAGATCCTATAATATAATTATTGTAATTTTTTTAGACACCTGTTGGCATTTTTGTAAAAAAAGAAAAAAAAACCCCCGAAGGTATTTTCAATGGTACTTTCTTGTTGTATTACAAAAAAATTAAATTATAAAAAAATAATAATATAAAGCAGTAAATAATCATTTTTTTTGAGAATTCGATTACAATAAAGTTTACTGCCTTTATTAATGGTATTATTTGATTAAGATATAAAATGAAGAGAAATCTTTTGTATAGTAATAAGAAACTATAAGCTATATATATATATATATTTATAATAACAAAATTGTCTTGAAATAAAACTTTCATAATTATATATGTATTTATAAATGTTTTTTAATGTAAAATAAAACACGTTTTCTTTTTCTCGTGAAAAGAAAAAATCGTGTTTAGAAATTCTTTTTGCATATAGATTTTTGATTATATTTTTTAATATAATTATTTGACATTTTGTCTTTTTTTAACGTTTAAGTTGTTTGAATATCGAGAAGATATTAAAAAAAAAACTACTTGACAAAGAAATAGTTTCTGCATGTAAATTTGAATTTTTTTTTATGCAGAATAATAAGAAAGAATTATTTCAAGACAAAATTGTCTATGTATTAATAGATTTTTTTAAAAATAACTTTTAAATAAGATATATGTGTATGAGATTTGTATAAACTACAAAAAAAATAGTATAACAAAGATCAAAATAAAGATGTTTTGGACAAATAGAATTTTATTTATTACCTGGAAATTGTATATTTATTTTTTTTCAAATTTCACGGTTTTTTCCCAAAAAAAATACTACGAATACTAAGAAACTGAAAATTTAAAAATTTGTACCGTTTTTCATTAAAAAAAAATAACGTTGACGTATTTTTATACATTAATATAATAATATTAATAATATTAACTATATTAATATTACTGATATTAACTATATTAATAATATAACAATAATAGACCTTAATTTATTATTCATTTTCCAGTTTTTCAAATTTGATTCCCGATTACACTGATTGGTCAGTTTTTAAATTTACGCGGACAAAACTTTAATGCAAATTTTCAAAATGATCGCTCATTGGTCATTTTTTCAGCGGCAAATTTAAAAATATCCAATGAACACAATAATTGTGAAGTATGCGCAAATACTTGTGGCGACTACTTTTCGAAATGCGGATAAACTAGAAACTAAATAATATCAGCAGAAGTAAATATTAGTAAAAGTTATTTTAATATCTATTGTTATTAAATACTTAATTATTTTATTATTATATTATTGTTTTAAATCGAATGTTTAACCTAATTTCCGTTAATAAATGCAAATTATAATTTATTTAAATACAACTTAAACAATTTACAACAAAACGTAAAAAAAACTTTGACGTTTTAAGGTTATGTTTACTTTAGTTTTGACAAAATAAAAAAAATAATTAGCAAATTTACGTCAGTTAAAAAGAAATTTTTAGAAAAATGGAGAAATTGCATAATTTAGACACAAGTATTTTTAATGAATCAAAATGTAATATTTTAAATCAGGTTTGTATGCATTGAATTTATTAATCAACAAAAATTATCGAATTTAATTTATTTTTTCGTAAATATAAACAAATTTTCAGCTATTACACGCATGTGCTGATGAAATATGTGGTTATCCTGGACCAAGTTATCAACATTTTAACAAAAGTATAGAATGGAGTCAAGAAGAATACAATAATGCTTATCAATTAATTTCATCGCTTTTAAAAAATCCTGTTTGTTTATATTTGGATGAAGAAAAGGTAATGAAGAAGAATTTATTGAAAAATGTAATTAAATAAAAAAACAAAATTAATTTTAATTAAATTACGTAAATTTGAAAATAAAAAAATTTCAGATGCCATTAGAATATCACGCGCTTCCTGAACAAGTACAACAACGAATTCTCAATTGTTTAAAAGTTCGTAGAGAAAAATTAACTGAAGCTTTATTAAAAAAAGTCTCAAAAAATAATTTACCCACATTTCGGGATTTTGATTGGCGATTAAAGGTATAAATATTCACAAGAAAATAAACTTATTTTATTTCATAAAAATGTTCAATATTTTTGAAATTTACAGTTAATTATGGGATCTAGTAAAATGGCGTCACTTCGTGAACCTCTTTTACAATTAGATTTAATTGTTGAAGAAAAAGATAAGGATAGACTATTGGGCATAGAATTAAATAAAGACGAATTAAATATGGTAATAAATGCTCTTGAATCTGCGGTAAAAAAACAATGAAATTTTCAAAAAATTTGAAATGTTTCAAAAATTTATAATACTTAATTTCATAATTATAAAATTTTATTTTAATTATCTATTTAAATATATTGGAATAAATAAAAAAACGAAATTTTTGTATAATACATAATGTGTATAATATTTTTTCTATCACCTTGGCTTTTATAATAAAAAAAAAATATTTCTATTATAATAATGAAAGGAAAAAAAATATCACTAACAAGATTTTTTAGGTTAAACGAGTACAAAAGTACAAAAAATCGATTCGTATAAATATAATTATGCAAAAAGTCAGGTTTTAAAGAATTAATTCAGTTTATAATTAAAAATATTGAAAGAGAAACAAAGTAAGAACAATGTGAAATTATTAACTAACCTTTACAAGCAGAAATCCAGAATCCAATGCAATCAGCTCATCGATTAGAGAGATAATAAAAGCATTTATATAATATCGAAATACTGTCACAAATTTTGCAAAACACTTTAAAAACTTTTCTGATGTTCACTAATATTCACTACACATTAAATGACGCCACCGGGGCGCGAAAACTTTGTTCAAACTGCAAAGCAGAGCACGCTATGACGTACTACAAAGATCTTAGAAGCAAGGTTGGGAAGTTGCAGCTCACGGTCATGTCACTGAATTTGATTGGCTGATAACAAAGGAACACAGGAAATGGAATCTATTCAACAGCCAATCAAATTCAGTGATTGGATCAGATTATGGAACAGAGTGGGACGTCCGAAATATGACACTTGAAACCGGAAATGTATTATTGAGCATGCGTCAACACTAAGTAGACGAACCTCCGTGAAGTTAGCACCACAACCTAAAAATAACCAAACTTTTTCTTATTGATTCGTTTTGTAAACCAATTTTTATCAATAAACAATTTTTTTTTAAAACGTTAAAAATTATTTTCCAATCACCAAACAATTTCCAAACGAATCCAATAAGAAAAAGTTTGGTTATTTTTTTTTTAGGTTTTGGTGCTAACTTCACAGAGGTCATATTTTTGTTTATGACAGTAGAGTAGACAGCCAGCTGGGGACACAGATCTCGCAAAAAAAAGTGTTTGACAAGTTAATTTAAAGTCGGTATTTATAAATTTTCATCTTATTATGACATAAAAGTGAAAATTGAATATTTCTAGGCTTAAAACTTTTAAGGAATTATTCTCATTAAAACAGGTATTGTTTATTTTTCATAATATAACATTTTCCAAATCTTTTACATCCATTTAATTTTGCGACACCATCATGTCAATTTCATGATTTAATTGTCTTATGATTAAAAAAAAAATAAAAAAAATATTAATATCCACTATAGAAAAAGAAAAAAAGATATTATCTCAAATACGATGTTATTAATTTATATACGTTTTAGAATAATCAATTATTTCTCTATTGCAAGATAATAATGATTTACTTGACACTTTCATAATCCGTTTATGACTGAAATTTTTTTACAGATAATAGATTCTCATTTATGTGCTTTTGTTTGGAAGAAACTTGTCATTTCTTATTATAGAATTACTTTTCTCTTTTTTGTGAAACATTTTTATTGCAAAAAAAAAAAAATACATAATTTTTACGGCAATTATTTTAGATCGGTAAATAAAATTTGTTAATAATCAAGATTAGGATTAGATTTGTTTTTTATATGTTTTAATCTTATAACTTTGATAAATTATAAATTATGGGTGTGTCATTGCTTTTCATTTTTTAGATACATTTTTTTTTTTTTTTTGCTTAAGTATGATTCATACTTTTTATGATTCATTGTTTCTACATTTATTTCTAATAAAAGTTTAAAAACATTTTCTATGTTAGGAATTTTTTTTTCAATTTGTTAAAGGAATTTTTATTTTAATTATGCAGCTTTTTGCGTTTTTTTCTCTAAATTTTTAAAAGTAATTAAATGTACGAAAGAGAGTAAAAAAAAAAGAAAGAAATTGAAAGCGATTATTTAATGTTCGAAAAATTTTAAATATATAAGTATTTTGTAAGACATGTTGCATAAAAAATTTTATGTCATTGCTATTGAAAAAAATTCCATTCAATTACGAGAGTGGAAGTTATCGAGAAAAGTAAACATTTATATGAGGCAAGAATCAGGCAAACATTAAATAAAATTTCTTCTATCGAAAACTTTTATAATTGAGATATTATTAATGGAGCTTAGAAAATAAATTATAAAAAATTTAATTTAATTCAAAGTTTAGATTTTTTTTTAATTTTAAAATTTACCAAATAGCAATCGATTTTTTTTTAATACTTAAAAATTAAATATTTCAGATTATAATTAACAAGATAATATTCATAATTTTAAAATAATGGCCAATATTAAAAATTTGGATCAACAAATCGCTAATTTACAAATAAATCATAGCGATGAAGCCGTTAAGGCTGGTAAAAAAGTTGGACCAGCTGTTCCTCCAAAACCAAAAAAATCACAACCACAGGTTGGTAAATTAATAATTTTTTTTTCTATTTCCATATCTCATAATATTAATGCATTTTTTATGCACCATTCACTCTTTCTCTACAACGGGAAATCATCTGGTAATTGTCTACATAATTTTTCTACATCTTTTTTTTTCATTTGAAAAAAATTTTTATTTTTTATAATTGAAAAATTTAATTATTTCCATAATTATTATTATTAATAGTTTCAATTTGATTTTTAATAATCAAATTAAAATTTACTTTTTCTCTTTCAATTATTAATAAAACAATTGATTTAAAGGTACCGCAAAGTTATACAATAAAGGCAGCTTCAATTCCGTCGTATAGTACAGTTTTAAATAATGCTGGATCAAATGAAAAACCGTCCAATATTTATATGAATTCACCAACTCCATATGCGCCATTAAATTTGGAAAAAAATGATTTCACATCATCAACAGCAGCAACTAATGGAAATAAACCAACGAAATTTTATCAGAATAATGAAAATTTTTACACGAATCAAACGGAGGAAAAATTTGATTCAAAATATAATTACGATGATAAACATTTTTATTCAAATGTTGACAATATATCTACAGCACAAATTCCAATTGATAATAATAGATCTGGAGGTGTTGTCAAAAATGCATTATACAGCAATGTTGAATCAACAATGCCAATTTCAATTCCCCATTCGAGTAATAAAAAAGAAAAGGATTTAGTTTACAGTAATATACAATGGAATACAAAACCTGAGAATACTTACTGTAATGTTCCAGGTGCACATAATGCTGGTAAGAGAGAAAAAAAAAAAAAAAAAATTTTCAATATTTAATTCTTTTTTTTTTTTTCGTAGACGATCTTCCGCCTCCGCCAGAGCCTACAGAATATGTTCATTGTTTACCGGGAAGTTCATTTCCACCACCACCACCGGAAGAACTTCCACCGCCACCAAGTCCCGTTTCCTCGAGTTACAGCGAATTGAGACGTGCCACTTATCAAAATGATTATTCCTCTGGCAACTATCCAAACGATATTTACGGACCAAGTTCACAATCAAGCTCAACTTATGAATCAATTTATGAGCCAATAAATCCACGACCACCGTCACAGCTCTCATGCAATTATTCCATGTATTCTGGATACGGCTCAGCAACAATGACACAACCACAGGATAAAGTTTCACCAGTTAAAGAAGTATGGAAAAAAAAATAAATTAAGATTCAATGTTAAATTTTTTTATTAATAAATTTTTTTCCAGGTCGATGTACTAACGGATCTTCTTGTACAAGGAATGGAGGATAATCAGGAGGATAGTGATATTTATGGAATTTGCGCTCAATGTGGTCGTAAAGTTGAAGGCGAGGGTACAGGTTGTTCAGCGATGAATAAAGTTTTTCACATAAGTTGCTTCTGTTGTTTTGTTTGCAATATTAATCTTCAAGGAAAACCATTTTATTCACTTGAAGAGAAACCATATTGCGAGGAGGATTATTTAAATACATTGGAAAAATGTTGTGTTTGCACACGACCTGTTTTGGATAGAATTTTAAGAGCTACTGGCAAACCATATCATCCATCATGTTTTACTTGTGTTGTTTGCGGACAAAGTCTCGATGGCATTCCATTTACAGTTGACGCAACTAATCAAATACATTGCATTCAATGCTTTCACAAGTAAGCGATAAAACAAAAATTTCTATTTTTATTAATTTAAAAAAAAAAAATTCAGTTATTTCGTAAAAAAATGAAAATGATATTTGAGACGTATTTTTTTTTTACAGAAAATTTGCGCCTCGTTGTTGCGTTTGTAAACAGCCAATAATGCCTGAACCGGGCGAAGATGAAACTGTGCGTGTTGTCGCATTGGATAGAAGTTTTCATATTCAATGTTACAAATGTGAGGATTGCGGTTTAGTTTTGTCCTCGGATCCAGAAGGTCGTGGCTGTTATCCATTGGACGATCATGTTCTTTGCAAAAGTTGTAATGCAGCGCGTGTTCAAGCTCTTACATCTCACATGACGACGGAATTATAAATTTTTTCCGAATTACATTTATATATTTAAAATACATGCCAAATAGTTAGAAAGTCATCTTTGAAATCGATGATGAACTGCGATCACTTTTTTTTTTTTGCTAACAATTTTAATATAATAAATGCTTTTTCTATGCGCACAAAGTGCTTTACGCTAATTATATAAAGCTTTTTTTTTTGTTTGCATTTTTCACGTTTCATATTTAATAATATGGAAAATTGTCCTCTTTTTTTTGTTACCGATTTGATGTGCCATTATAGAATTTTAATAATGCATTTAATTTTTTTTTTCTTTTTTTAAATCCAAACTTTGTCAGTAACGAATTTTTTGTAAACCTTTAAATGCTTCATCGAAACAAATTGTTTTTTTTTTCATAGAAACGCGAAAATTTTATGTGTAAATATTTTGTAATTTTAGAAAAGTAGATGCCATTTTTTTTATAATTTTCCATTGCTTTTAATTTTGTATATGCATTTTTTTTTTTTGAGAAAATTTTTGCGCAGCTTCATTTTTTTTTTATTAATAGTATTAATATTAATTATTAATATTAATATCATAAATAAATTAGCTATTTGCAGTATTCAATAAGAAAAAATGGTAAATTCGTGATTTACTTTTACATATTCCAGAAATAATTATACTCCTGTTAATTGTATAGATTCAAAAGAAATTTATGTTGTTAGATTTAAGTGTTTTGTAAGTTCTGATATGACAAAAAAAAAGAATATTCCATTTAGAAATAAAAAAAACAACTATGTATTAATTATGTGATATGCGTAGACATACATTTCTAAATACTTAGTTTAAAAAATGGAAATAAATTATTTAGAATAAGTTTTTTTTTAGATTGTATACACTTTCTGTACATTTAATAAAAGCATATACAAAAAAAAATTTGCCTTCTTTAATGATAATTTTATTAGTTATCTTTATTATGGACAGGTAAATAAAAATCATTTCAAATTGAGTAGATTTCACGTTGCATGAAGTTTTATTATTCTTTTATTTATGATAGAGATGTACATTTTATTTGACGCTATCTCTTGCTTCAACTATCTTTTTTTTATCCAGCTATGTTCATGCATAGTCGTCTTTATTTTGTTTTATTTCTTTTTTTTTATTGTTATAATTATAATATTTATATATATATTTTTATGTATAATAGACTTTTTTTAAATATAATATGTATCTCTTACAATATCATGTACTTTTATTATTGTAAATTAATCCCGTAATAACAACCTACGTGTCATTTTTTTTTGTGTATACTATGTTATATTATTGGTACATAAATTTTCTGTTTGTTTTTATTTTTTTATTCTTAATAAGGGCTTAGCTTGTGGAACGTGCAAGGTACTTGGTAAAGATTTTCATTTTTTTTTTAATTTCGTCCTATTAAACTTATTCTACTTCAATAGCGGAGCAGTATATACATATTATAAAAAAAAAGGAAGAATCATCGAGTTCTAACAACTAATTAAAAAAAATAATAATAATAATAATGAAAAAAGCAATTCAATTGTCAGGTACGCTACTTAAACTTTTATTTCATAATCACAAAAGAAAAATTTATACTTTCAGGATGTCATAAACGTCAACTGAAGAAAATAATATCTCTCGCATGCACAAAGTCATCACACAGTTGACGTTTTATTAAAATAAAAAAAAAAAAAAAGTTATTTTTAAATTAAAAAAAAATTTGTTCATCCTACAAGAAAAAAAAATCTTAGGCTTTTTTTTTTTTTAGTGACTACGAAAAAAAAGCATCGAATGATTCTTTGTCTACTTTTTCAGTCTCGTTTTTTTTTTTAAACTAAACAAATTTTATGAATTTTGGAAAGCGAAAAATGAAAAAAAAATCGCTCGAAGTTTTTTGTCATTTATACTTTGACTTTTTTTGAAAGCAAGTACTTGACACTCCACAAACTTAAACGCGTCGTTTGCTTTTTATTTTATTTTATTTTTTTTTTTTAATACGCGTATAACACATTTATCATCCTATCGATGTCTTGCTATCTACGTTTTTTTTTCTAGCTTCTAGCTTAGATTTTTTTTTTTTTTTTTTTTCTCTAATATACGATGAATATATTATCTTTTTTTTTATCAGTACCGTTCTACGTTAAAATCGGTGCGTACAACTTTTTTTTTACAACAATAGATAAAGTTTTCTTTTCATAATTTCGAATTAAACAAAATAATAATAATAATAATAAAAAAAAACAAAGGACCACCGAATTCAACGTAGAATTTTTTTTTTTTTTTGCATTTTTACACGTTAATATCTCGCGAATCCACATACACACATCATGTGTAAAATTATACATGTTTTATGATCACTCTCTAAAGCATATTATTTTGAGAAAAATTCTTTTCTCATTTTCGTTTTTTTTTTTATTACCTCTACTTCATTAATTGATTAATAATTAATTTTTTTTTAAATGTAATTAAATTGATAAAAATGTTTTTGTTTAATTAATTTTTTTAAATTAGAAAAAATGTAGTTTCTCTTTTTTTTTGATTAATTTTAATACATATGTTTTTTTTCTACTATAATATTTAATTTATATTCAATTTGATAATATTTCAAGTTTATTTATTCGTCGAAAAAATAGAAAATAAATTCTAGAAAGAAAAAATCAAATTAATTATTAAACATTTCGTTGTATAATTGTCGATGAAAGAAAACTAAATGTGTTGTGAATTTCCTTTTTTTTAAAGAGTGATCATTTTCGTAGATGTAATTGTTAATGTTTTTCAACAAAACTTTTATACATGCACACAATAGTCACAGCCACCAATCCATTTTTTTTCTCATTTTTTTTTATAGCGTTCGCACACACGGACACTCTTTATTTTATTTTTCTATAACCGCCAATACGATTTTTTTTAAATATTAATATAACAATTAAATATTGCTCGGATTAATGACGTGTATCGTACATAGAAATAGGTGCCGAAAAATGAGTCGTTTGTCCATATTCCAAATGGCATTGACTTTTTTTAAATCGTATTTTTTTTTCCAAATCTCAACATTATTTTTTTTTTTTTATTAATATCAATTTTATTTAAGCTGTAGAAATTTCTTTAATCCGTATAGAAATCTCTAGCCTCTTAATAGCCATTTTTTTTTATCGATACCAACTTATGTGCCACATTTATTTTTTTTTTTCTACATTTTAAACTCATTTTGAGTTTCGCACGGCCATTATAAAGGCTCATATATTTATAAATCAATAAATAAATATTAGAATAACAATTTTCATCAAAAAACGTTTCGTCGTAACAATATTAGAGGCTCTTTGAACGTAATTCAACAAATATTCAACGATACAATAATTTGAAAACAAAAAATAGAAGGCACTCTCTCTCTTTCGCACAATCACGATCGTTCGTTCTCGCTTTCGTTTTTAATAAATTATTATTACTTTTTTTTTTTTTGCTTTTTTTTATTTGTAACAACGCACAAATATAATACTCATTCTAGGCCTTTTTTTTGACATGTCACTCAAAAATCTACCTTTCCTACTACGATTTAGACTATCGGACAAAGTCTCATGTCTTTCGGTTTCATTTTTCTTTTACGGTCTTTATATATTCGTACACCGTATTATTCGTAAATGTCCTTTTTTCTCGACTCTTTGTTCTTTTTTTAAATAGATATTATTATTATTATTAATATTAATATTATTATAATTATAATTATAATATATAATATAAGCTACAATATACGAGATATGAGATAACAAATGTCCTTTTTTTTCATGTATGTTTTATTTTTTTTTTTTTTTAATATAGGTAAAAGAAATTCACGTTCATAACAATTAGGTAGATTATCAGTTAAACCTTTTAATATTATAATAATTTAATTATTGTTATTTGCTTGGAAGCTCACAGCCGACACATTTTTTAATTCATTATCATGTTTTTTTTTTCTAATATTTTCTTCGTTTTTTGGGTACAAGGCTTTCCCTTACTTTTTTTTTTCTCAAATGTTTTATTTTTCTCTCTTTACTTTTCTTTCTTCTCCCTGTTTTTTTTTCTCTCTCTCACTTTCTTGTGATCGAGATTTTTTCAAACAATTCATATTCGTGAAAAAAAATAAGCAATAGTCGTCTAATCAAAACTATCAGAACGTTGAAATTTCTTGCTCATTAAGAAAAAAAAAAAAAAAAAAAAAAATTTTTAATTGAGCAAAAAAAAAAGGCGCAAAAAACGATTAAGTGAGCGATAAGTACTCGAAGGAAAAAAAAATACACTTGGGGAATTGAAAAAATGGGAGTTTTTTTTTTTTGGCAGTGCCTTGAGCAACTGTTTCGAAACCATCTTCTAATGCTGTCTCCCTTTTTACCCTCTAATTTCATTCTTTTTTTTTCATTTTTTTTTTTTTTTTTTTATTTTTTTTTTGAACACATGACAGATCGCTCATATTTATTTTATTTTAATATATATAATATATATTTGTACGATAATAACAACGTTATTTGTTTCTGCCTACCATAAAATGGATCCGACTAACTACTCTAGCCTTGCTCGCGAGATTCATATTTTGTCGAGCCTATCACGCATATAATGTCAAATATCGCCGTTATATTGACGTATTTTTTTTTTTAATTTTAATTTTTAAATAGCTACATCACTCGAACTCGGAAGAAAACTCGCTCAATCATTCGAAGATTACGTTAATTTGTTTTGTTTTTTTTTTTCGACAAATATTATGTGAAGAGAATTTTCAAGTCATGGATTTTTCTTTAGTTATTATTTTAATTATTTAAAGAGCCATTATTATTATTTATTTTTTTATATTTAAATTTTATTTTATTAATTTTAATTCGAAAAATGAATTTTTTTTTTACACAAATTCTTGAAAAAGAAAAAAGAATTAATTTCTTGATAAATATCAAGAAAAGCATAAACGTTACGATTTTATTTTTAACAAATTCGAAAAAAGGGTAATTTTTTTTTTTAAAAAAAAGCAACTTAATTGAAAGACAATTAAATCTCTCCCCCAAAAAAAGGAGAATTCTAAATAATTCTCTAATCAGAAAAATATATAAATTTTTGACAAAATTCTTGATGGACACACATTTTCTTGTAAATCTAATTTTTTTTTTTTTGATTAAGTCAAATAAGATTCTTTTTTAATCAAAGTGAATTTTTAACAAATTCGCAAAAAAATCGACAGATGCAAATTACAAATCCAAAAAATAGGAAATTTCTTCATCAAATCCGAGATGGGTCGAATTTTTTTTTTTAAATAAATACGACACAAAATATGAATTTTTTAACAAATACAAAAAAAAAACCTCAATTTTTGAAAAAATTGCAATTTTTTGAAAAAAAAAGATAAAGATCTCTTATAAAGAAAATTTTATATTTCCTCTCCAAAAAAAAAAGAAAGGAAACAAAAAATGCTTTTGGTACTTTCAATCAAAAGAAAATAAAACTTCATGTACGTAGAAAAAAAGAGAAAAAATTTTTTTATCTTTTTTTTTTGGATTTTTAGTATAATTAGTTTTAGTTATAGATAATAGTTATAGTTATAATAGTTTTTTTTTTTTAAATGCAAGAGATTTTTTTTTAATTTAACATATATTGATTATATATTAAATAAACATAGAGTATATGACATGACAAAGTAACACAAAAGTTATACTTTTTTTTATATACTTTAAAATGTCTACTTTTCTTTAAACTACGTAATTTGATATTTTCTTTTACTTTTTGTAGACATTTCTTTTTTTTATATATACTTTATATTCAAATATATTATATATTTTTTTCATTTCAAGACACACTAAATAGTGGAAATGACTCGATTCTCTTTTTTTATAGGCCAATTTTTTAGTGGAACTTTTTTTGAGAATAATAATGCCCGATTTGATTTTAATTCGTTTTTTTTTTGACTTTAAAAATCAAGTGGCACTTGGCGTGAATTCGCAGTGTTACGTTAGCTGGAAATATAGCTATCATCACCAATTTTTTTTTTAAAGGCCCTTCAACCGTTCATTTCCCTTTCGAATACATCAACATTTTAAATAAAGCCAGGCAAAAAGTTGAAGAATTATAATTAATTTTTTTTTTCCCGAAAGACTGAAAAATCTCCGAATAAATAAAATTTTTGTATTGAAAAAAAAGCACGAAACGAAATATTTTTTATAAACTTTTTTTTTTATTACTTTCAGAAAATATTTTCAGTCTCTCTAAAAAAAAAAAGTAAATAAAAAAAATTTGTTGAGTAAAAAATGTGTAATCTTCGAGTGAAGTTAAACGAGGTTTCAATTAGAGTTTCCTAGAATGTACTATAAATCTGACTTTTCTTAAATTGAATTTTAGCTGATTCTGAAATGTATAATTAGATATATGCAATATTTATATATATATATATATATTCGTAATATATATATGTATACTTTTTTTTTAAATATTATTAATTATCGTGCCTCGTACCTAGCAATATCTTATAATATCTGTAAATGTCGATATATATCTCGCCTTATACTGATATCTCGTTTCGTATTTATTCTATAAATATTCAACAATTCAGTGTGACTCTTTTTTTTCGGGAAGATCAGTGTAACAACATTTTTTTTTTTTTTTTTTTTCGAGTCTCGACTGCAGGACTTGAGATCACAATAAGAGTACGAAATTGTCCCGCAAGCAATAATAGCGCGATAAAGAAAAGAAAATATATATATATATTTTTTAAAGAGTAAGAGCCGCCATTTGATGGCACGAGTCGTTCAGTTGATTTTGTTCGCCTGATGATGAATTACGAGGTGTTGCTGGTGGTGTGATTGGCATTCTTGATGGTGCATCGCCAGCACCGCCGATACTGTCGTCAGTTATTTTATTGTTACTTGTAACAATTCCATTCATCTTATATTTTGATTGACGGAGAATTGATGATGAATTCTGATTATTTGAATTATATTTATCAGATGTTCGTCGTGCTTGTCCCGGGGCGTATCGACGTTGTTGTTGTTGTTGTTGTTGTTGGATTGGCGTTTGAAAACGATTTTGAGCCGGATTGTAAAACTGGACCTGTGATGTAGGTGGTGAAAGTGTGGGAAGAGGACGAGTCATTGGTGAATATGGTGCCGGAGGCGGGCTCGTTGATTTTTCCATATTTCCTGTCTCTTTTGTTGTATTTAATGCACGATTTAAATCGTTTTGATTTTTCTCAGTTTCAATATTAATTTTTTCAGGACGCGTTGATGTTGTATTTTTACGAATTTGATATTTATTATCCTGATTGTAATCATAATTGCGACGATTATTGCTATAGTCAAAATTTGATTTTGTCAATCCCGTTGTTCTTTGATTTGAATATGAAGAACCAGCTGGTTTTTGAGACAAAAAACAGGATGACGAGCCCGCATTCGAACCATAACGTTTATAATGTCCGGAAATACGAGAGGAGGGAATTCCGAGTGACTGGTATTTGTGCAAATCAGTATTATACTTATTGTATAATTGAGGATTACCGGGATTATGTGATTTGGAAAAATTATTTTGATGAATTAGAAAATTGGAATTTTGTGTTACATAATTATTTTGTGGATTGACAATATTTTTTGGATAATCACGATAATTTTGTTTTTGATTATTGTAATCGTATGTCTGTTGATTTGATAATTGTGGTGGCGGTGGTGTTGGAAGAAGACTTGTATTATTTGATGAATGATAGGGTGATGTGTGAGGAATGTAAACTGTTGGATGATAAACAAATGCGCCGCAATGCATTTGATTTCCAGTAGTGTCATCTGTTTCGTTTATGCATGTTTGTGAATTATGAATATTGGACGAATGAACAGCTAATGGATGATAATTAGTGTAACGACCGGATATTGGAACTTTGATCGGCATCACGGGTACCAATGATGTTGATGACCCCGTAGGCTGTGCAGCCTGCGTTTCACTTTGTTGCTGCTCCGAGTGGCTCGATGTTGAACGAGAGTCCTACGATTTATTGTACAATAATCCAATATTTATCGAATTCAACAAAGTCTAATTAGAAAATGAAATCCAGTAACGAGAGGAAAAATTTCAACTCTTTCGATTCGATTTTTAGTTTTAATTACAAAAAATTCTAATTTTTTTTAGAAATAAAATTACTCGCCACTGACTTTCTTTTCTCTGTATATATGAATTAAGATGTCGAATGTTTTTCTTTTTTTTGTGTGTAAAAAGTGTATTCTGTTTTTTTACCATTATGCCAGCATTCGTTGATGCCCTCTCTCGTTAAAATGCATTACGCTTATATTAAAATTACGTAAAGATAAATTTTAAATGAAAAAAAAAAATTGATTAAATCACATGGATCAAAGTGTTTTTTTTTTTTTAGGGTATAAACCAACTGTGATCCTTGTAAATGTTAAAAATTCTTTTTTTTCCGAAAATTAAGAGAATGATGTATATATATAAAGAAAGAATGAGAAAAAAAATTATTACCTCCTGTTGATTGGTCTGATTTTCGATAGATTGCGGCTGACATGAGGGATCAGTGGTGTAAAGAAGCAATTGCTGATCACCGAGACCGATCTGTGCATGAGGCGGTGGAGGAGGTGGTCCAGTGGCGAATGAATAATAAACATGATCCATTTGAGATGCTGGTGGACCAGCGTTAACTGGTGGTGGATGATGATGATGATGGGCAGCGGCAGGTGCATAAAAATGAGTTGGAGGCGGCGGTGGTAATGATGGAAGTTGTTGCGGTGGTCCAGTTGATGGGCTCGTTACACCTGTACCATTGTTGCTTGTTCCTGAACCATTTCCACTGCCGCTCGTTGTATTTTGCGAATTTCCAGTTGTGAACATGTACTGAGCTCCAGCAGTAGATGCCCCTGTATAATACGGCTCATACTGCACAAAATAAACAATTTAATATTAATATTCCTCCTTTTGTTTTCACTTTTGCAAGATGCAATTTGTCCTTTACATTATTTTTGTTTTCTGTTTTTTTTTTTTTTTGAAAGAAAAATACAATCAGAAAAGATTTTAATCCTTTGAAAGATATTGGATTTAAAAATTTGTATTTGAAAATTGTTTCTTGAGGAAATTCTTTCAAAGTATTAATCTGCTTTTGTTTCAAAAATAAAAATTTTAAGCTCAATATTTAGAAAAAAAAACAGGCTTCTAATCAAAGCAGAATGAAATTTTGTAAAATAGAACATTAATTTATTACTGCAAATAAATTTTGTTCAAACGTTTCATTACAAGTTTAAAATAATTAAACTTGTTTTTTTTATTTAAATATTTATAGTTTTATCATTTTTTTTTTTATTAAATTATACTATTTCATTTTCAAATAGTTTGTTTTTGTAAAAAATTGATTTCTTTTTCACAAACGTTTGAAAGGTTAAGGTAATATTAATTAATAATAATGCGTGAAATAATTAAATTCGGCAATTAAAAAAAAAACACAAAAGTTGCGCTTTTTTATTTGAAGCTTAATTGAATAGTGAATAAATTTCAAAAAATTCTAAAATCACTATTTAGGATAAAAAATTTGTATATACATAAAAAAAATTGTTTAAGGGTTTTTTCATGCTCTCAGCAGCGCTAACAAAATTCTATTTGATATATATTATAAAAAAAAAAAACTAATAACCGGAAATATTTTTTACAAAAAAAAAATTGTAAATTTGTACAATAAACTAAAGAGCATTTAATTTTCATTCTTTCGATAAAATTAAAATTTCAATAGGAAATTTAATAACTGAAAATCAGTGGAATATTTTTCTATAAATTTTCTCCTGATGAAATTGAAAATCACGAATAAATTGTCGATGACAATTTTAGGCTTCACTGAAATGAATATTAAAAAATGTCGATGTTTTATTATACAATGAGAATAATTGTACAATGTCAAAGAAAAAAAAAAGGAAAAAATAAAAGAAATCAAGAGAGATAGAGAAAATAAACAAAGAATGCAAATTCATGACAAAAAAAAATAATCAGTTATGTGCTTTTGAGCATGCGACAGCAAAAAAGGGCATGCGGATAAATGTGAGCAGACACATGGAATAAATATATTTATATGCTCAAAATTTTTTTTTTTTTTTGCAGTGCATGCTGCTAATCAAAAAACATATTCGTCAAAGATTCAAGTACCTTTAGACCTCAATACTGTATAGCGTCGAGAAGAACGTAAGTAGGCATTTGTTGAGGATTTGGTAGAAACGCCGGTGGTATTGCTTCCCCCATAAGACTGTTTGTCTGTCAAAACCGTAACCGAGACTACATTTAAATTTTCAAAAAAAAAACAAAAAAAAAAAATAAGAACAATAACTAAACTTCTTCCCCTATTACACAACGAAAATAAATTGAAGTAGAAAGAAACTTTTAACGACCACGTATGTAATTTTTTTTTTTTTTTTTTGTTTCCGAAAAAAGGGGATTTTTGTCGATTTTTGAGAAACTTACCGGCATTGGAGAATACTGATATTGTTGCGGCATGTATATGGATGGCGCTGGACATGGATACATGACTGGAGCAAATGTCTGATGGCTTGCTGTTGCTTGAGGCCCTGAGGAGAAGATTTTTCCGTTCTCAATTGGTTACGAAACACGGAATGAATATATGAAATTAAATCTTTTTTTGCGATCGTTTATTTATATTTTTTTTTTCTAATTAAAATCGCGACATTTGTTTTTTTAAGTTTTATTTCCCCCCCAATGTTTATTTTTTTAATACTTTTAATAAAGAATTTTGTAATTTGATTTAATTCTATTTTGAGGAAAAATGAAATTTTCTTTTAATTCAAAAAGATTTTTTCGCGACTAAATCCGATTGTTTTTTTTTTCAAAATTTAAAAGCTTATATAGGCAATAGATCAGCTCTTCAATTTAATTTAATAAAAAAACTTGCACTCTCTTTTTTTTTGCAAATGCTGTAAAACTTCAGTGAACGAAAAAGAAAGTAACGTGCATTCGTGAATTATGAACAAAGAGAGAATTCCAGCCAGTTATTGTTCTAATAATCTGTTAATTAATAACTGGCTGAAATTGTAAAAAAAATTCAAGAGTAGGAAAACTTGGATTAAATTTGTCAAAGAGACAAGGAAAAGTTTTTTTTTTTTTTCTTTTGGAGAAAAAAAGCAAAATGAAAACTTCAATGGAAACCAGTTGCGTATTGAATCGTGCCATTTGATAAAAATTTACATACCAAATACTCCAGTTGCTTGATAAATTGCAGAAGGATCAGTTGGAGGCGGTGCAATTGCAGTTCCAGGTGCCGGTGTTGCTGTATTATAAAATGTCATACCATTTTGATAAGTGAGACTCATGCCTAAAAAAAAAAAAAAATAATGGATAAAAAACAATTTTATTTCCTTTTTTTCAAAATAAAATCATAATCATTCAACTTATAATTTTCGATTGTTTTCGTTCAATTAATCAGTTTACAAAAACAAATCGCTAATTTAATACAATATAAATTAGAATTTAAAAGAAAAATTTTTTTAAATAAATTCTCACTGACCATTTGTATAATAATAAGTACTGGTAGGCACAGCAGGAGGTGAACCTGATCCACCATCGAAGGATCGACTAAAAGGCTGTTTTTTAATGGCGGGAGCAATGTTTAGCTTTCTTTCCCTCACAATGATGCATTCAGACTGTAAATAAATCTTTAATGAAGGATTATTTAATAAATAAATCTTCTAATTTTGTTTATTTCAGTGAAAAATTTTTCTTTTGAGAGAGATAAAAAATTAGGAATGTTTTTTTGGCAAAAAGAAAGACGGAAATAAATTGTAAAATGAAAAAAAAAGGATAAAAGATGTTAAACCTCTTGTTGAAGACGTTTAGCTTCTTCTTCAGTTTCAAATGTGACAAATCCATATCCCTTTGAAACGCCCGCACGATCAGAGATTATTTTTGTTGCTTTAACATTGCCATAGGCAGAAAAAACTTGAGCAAGTTCAGCTTCGCTTGTACTTGCTGAAATTCCACCAACAAAGATGCGATTAGGCACTAGAGTACCGTATTTAGGAGCTGCCATTGCAAGACTCGTTGCTGAAGCAGGGCTGGAGGCTGGACTGGACCCCTCCGTGCCCCCCGTTGATGCAGAACTCTAGAAAATTAAAATAATAAATATTAATTAATTAAATTAACAATTAAAATACTGTTATTAACAAAAAATAATTCTCATAAAAAAGTAAATGTCAAATTTAAGAAAACTCCTTAATATTAAAATAAATTAAAAAAAAAAATTTTAATATTTAGATAAAAATAACAAAAATAAAATAAAATTGCACAAGATTACTTTATAAAAAAAAATATATATTCAAATTTAAATATTACATAAATTAAAAAAACTAGTTACAGAAGTTAATTAATTAAATAAAAATATTTTTTAAATTTTAAGAAAAAATTGGTATTTATTTTTATCTCTTTGTAATATAAACAAAAACAAATTTTTCAATAAAACAAATCAAAATGTCAAAACATATTTTCAAATTAAAAAAAAAAATATGTTTATTCCCAGATGTTAAATAACATTAAATTTAAATTCTATAAATTTCTTATTTTAATAAATAAATTTAATAATAAATAAAATATAAATAACAAAAAAAAAATAAGTAACCTTAAAATTCGTCAAAGAATTTGAAAAAAGAAGTTTTGTATAAACTAAACTTTTTTTTTTATATTTATTAGGTTAACGATAATAATTATCATCAATGTTAAAAAGAAACTTGAATAATTTGACCTGTATTCGCAACTATAACACTTCTTAAAATCTGTCATCCAAAAAAAAGAGGACAATTTTCACTACTAAATATATATTTAAATCACCATAGGAATATTCACATTAGAAAACGAAAAATATTTAATTTTTGTTCAAATTACTATTTCTATATACGCACAAGGAAAAAAAAAAAAAACAACAAAAACAAAAAAGCATCAATGGCATTCAGGATGTGTGCTATATATTCGACCCTGAAGATGACATGCACGTAAATCTCATCTACATCATCATATGTTAAAAATTGAATTTTAATTTTAAAGATAAAATGTTTTGACATTGCGAAATCATTTAATAAAAGACAAAATAAAGACAAATCAACAAGTCCTGATTTCTCAACGAGAGTCAATTTCGCATATAACAGAAAGCAGGATTCACGATTTGAATCTAGGTTAACGTCTCCTTTTGTTAAAGGACATGTCATTTGTTAATGGTTTTTAGCGAGAAATTGTGTATGAAACAATAAGGATAAAAATCAATGATAGCTTTTTTTAGAGAAAGCGTCAGATGTGTGTGCAATGGATGTTGAAGGAGTAAAACTGGGTAACTGGTTTGTCAGTACTCACCATCTTCGAATGAAACGAATGCGCTGAGTTTTTTTTTTTTTTTTTTGTTTTTGTTTGTTTTGTTTGTCGTTGTCAAAACAGTTGGAAGGTCCTGTGGCCTCGCTTAAGGTCACCTGGATCCCCAGGGACTCGCAAGGACCGCTGCGACGACTCGAAAAGGACTTCCAGTCCCCGTCGAAGCTCCTGTGTTCTCCTTTACCGAACCTGCAAACACCACACACACCACGGGAACACTTACAAGATGGCCGTCTTGTAGAGATTCACCGCGCGCGACTGTTCGTTTTCATTTGAACCTTGAAGGACATTTATAACCATTCTTCCCGTAGTCAAAACATAAACATAATTGAACATCAACCAACTTTTGTAATTGATAAGAAATTTATACAAAACTCACTGTTTAATTATTGACACAAGATCAAATTAATAACATTTATTTTTCCTAAAATTTTTCTCCATATATACGCCTTAAACTGCAAATGTCAAATTACAATTTTAAACTTTCCCGCTAAACTTTCTTACCAACCGAGTATAATTTTTTATTTACCAACAAACTATGGATTCAAAATAATATTTGCAAAATTTAAAAAATTGAAAAACTAATGTGTTTGGAAACGAAAAAAATACGTGTGGAAAATTGATGAGGAGATAAAATCGAAATTTCGAGGTCATTTCAGTTTGATTTTAATTCTAAGTGATGTTTATGTTTATATAAAAGTTGGAAAATTCTTACCTTTGTTGATTTTTGGCCTGCTAATCGGCATTCGGACGAGATAAACATAATCATAAATTATTTATAATTAGTATGATATATAAAATATAATTAAAATAACAGTGAAATCCAAACTGTCAACAAAAACGCGAGAAAAAAGAAAATGGTGATTTTTTTACTAAATCGGAGGAAACTAAAAACAACCGCCAAACGTTTTTGCAGTTTTACCAACAGAGATCCATTTCCGGTTCTTTTTTATATTTGAATTCAAAAAATAATAGGTAATTGATAATTTTTTCTTTTAATATCCACACTCTTTTCGTTAATAAATGTTTAATTACAAATTTTCAATAAATTTTTTTTTCCTAATTTTATTGGTTATGTTCATATACATAACCTTTCTTTTTAATTTTTCTAATTTTACAAGGAAAAAAATTGTTGAAACTTAAATTTCAATTTGTAATTAAAAAGTTGAATTAAATTAAATGAATATAAAATAGTGAAAAATTATTTTTATTATTCAAATATCGCGATTACAAAAATATGAGTCCTGCGTAAAATATTTTGTATAGAAAATATTCTAGTTTTGCAAAAAGTATATTTTATCAGTATTCGAATGAGTATCAATTATTATTATTTATTATAAAAAAAACCAGCTATTATCAAAAATTTCTTTACAATACAGCATATAAATGTAAATATCAGTTTATCAAAAATATACTTATAGATATATTTTTAACAAAGTTTAAATAACTGTATAATTAAAATTAATTTGAAGAAAAAAAATATTATATAATATATAATTAACTTAATAATATATTTCTATTTTTTAATTAACTGGACGGTTTTTGCAATTGTTGAAAAAAAAAATCAACTTTGATTTAACAAAAATAATAATTTTTTTTTTCAAATTGTATAGTAATAATATAATTTATCTATTATTAATAATCTCATTTTTTTTCACAGATTGAGATCAGATATAATATAAAAACAAAGAGATTTTATAATACTTAAGAAGTAACATTTTTTACATTCTTAATGGAATGTATTTCAATATTATTAAATCAAAATTTTTTAATAAATTTAATACTTTTTGATCGATTCATTAAAAAAAAAAAAACTTACAAATTTTCATATTTAAGAAACATATCCTTTTTCTTGTATTTTTAAAACTATTTTTTTGATTTCAAAAATTCGATAATTTTCAAATTATTAAAAAGCCAGACTTGTTTATTAATTTCGATATTTTGCAAAATTAAATTATAAATTGCAATTTAATATTTAAAAACTAGTTTCGAGTATATTTCAAGTTTAAAAAAAAAATCAGAATGAAAATTTTTAATGAATCGATTTTTATAATATATCACATATTTGAAAACTATGCAAAAATTTGCAAAATTTAAAGTCAGCTATCATAAATTTTATTATAAACAAAAAAAAAAGAAACTGAAAAATTCAGTCTTTAATATTTCTTACTTCTGAGAGTCATTTTTTTTCTTAAACTTTTTCTTCCACGCATTATTAGATTTTCCTCTAATATTTTTCAAAAATTTTTTTATTTTAATTTCCCCATTAAATTTTCTCCATTAATGAAAGTTTTCTTGAACGATGCTTTTAAAATAAACGTTCTTCAAAAATTAATCATAATCAAAAATAAAAAATATACGATAATTTGTTTTTGATAGAATTTGAAATTTAATAAATTGCCATTTAATAGTATTTTCATTTTATTTTCATTAAATTTTGAATTTCAGTCAAACGCAAAAAAAAAGAAAATACTATTAAGTGGAAAATCGATTAAATATTTTTGAAAAATTTAATTTCAGCAAAGACAAAAAAAAAAAATAATAAAAATAAAAAAAACAACTTTGAAAAAAATGAAAATTAACGACACGATTTTAAATGAGTATTAAGTACAGTTCTTGTGACAAAACCCTTACAACATCGTGGGCATAAATACGGTCTTTCACCACTATGATACCTTTTGTGAACAACAAGTGTTGATCTTTGTGTAAATGCTTTACCACATTGATCACATGAATATTTTCTTTCACCCGTATGTGTTACACTATGTGTTCTTAAAAGTGTTTCACATGCAAAACATTTGCCACAAACCTCACATGTATATGGTTTTTCACCTGTATGTGATCTTGTATGAATTTCCAAACCCTTTGCCGTTTTTAATTCCTTACCACAAAGTGCACAAAGATAACGTCGCCTTTCAACAGTCACCGTATCCGAATGTCCTTTTATTTTATGTTGCTTTAACATTGATCGATATTTATATGTTTTTCCACAAATATCACATTTATGTTCATCACGCGATAAATTATTCTCTTCATTTTGCATTATTACCAAATTTTGATTATAATGATAAAGTTGATTATGCTCCCTGAGACTGTAAACATCATCGAATGTACCACCGCATGCATTACATTGATGAAATTGCATAAATTCATGCATTGCCGTATGTGTCATTAAATCTTCTTCACGTGAACAAACTTCGCTGCAAATTTCACAAATAAATTTCACATCTTTATGTAATCTTTTACAATGACGTTCAACATCAGCATTTGATACACCCATAAAATCACATTGATTGCAAGGCACTATTTTTGGTGTATGAGATTTTTTAATATGAGCATTTAACATAAATTGTTGTGGATATGTTTTACCACAATTATCACATTTAAAGGGCCTTAAAATTCCATGGACCATTCGTAAATGTGCCACTAATCTTGTGACAAAATGAAATTTCTCTCCACAATATTCGCACGATTTTTCCCCACTGCTATCAAATCTATAAAAAAGGAAAAAAACATTTTATAATTTTTTTTTTTGATTTTAAAAATAATAATATTTTGGAATATAGACAAAAAAAAATTACTTTTCATCCGGTCTTGCCATATTGTCTTCAGTTTTGACCTTCTTGTAATCATCAATTGTATTAAGTTCAATGTGATTCATCCAGTTTCTGTAACAAAAAATTGAAAATTGGCAAAAATATTATTAAAATTCTTAAATGATTACATTACACTATTTTTATGTGTCATGTACAAAAATTAATAATTTAACAAATAAAATAAAAAATTGAAGACATCTCAGCATCTTCTTCACTAATTTAAAAAAAAAAAAATATTTTCACTATTCGGTGATTCGCAGTTATAATTGTGACAATATTAAAAACAAAATATATATTTTTAAAAACATAAAATTAGAATTAAAAATTCCTGCAAAAAATTATTATTTTAGAAAAATCATAAAATTACGATTTAATTTAAAAATTATATTATTTATGTATTGATTGTTTTTTTTTTAAATTACTTCAAAAATTATATCAATTATATTCAAAATTATATCTTTAAAAAAAAAAATGTTTAGATCTCAATAATTGAATCAAATATTTTCAATAACTCAATTTATTATTGACAAATACAATATGGCAAAATGTACATTACGAAGAATGGAAGAAATACACCAAATTTTATGTTCCTTGTTATTAGAAATTTTTTTGGCTTTAATTATTATCTATTATATTATGTATATATTTTATAACTTACACATATTTACAGTTAAGTAAATAATTTTTTTAAATGTAATATATTTAAATTCTAATAACAAGGCCTTTGAATAATTTTGTGATTAGTAAAATACAAAATACACAAAAATTGTTAACTCTAATAAAACAAACAGTGCAATCACGTAGAAAAATTATGCTATTTTTTTTTAATTCAGATTTTTGGTAATAGCATATTTTTCCCAATAATTTTAACTTTTTTTTAATTTTTCCTTCTTTTTTCATTTTTATTATTATCTTAAATAATATAAAGTAATTAATCCTTTTTTTTAGCTCAAGACAACTAATTGTAATTTTTATATCAGTTTAGTGAAAAAAAAATTTTTTTTAATTGTTATTAAATTTTACTTTTTGTAAAATTAAAAAATACGAACGATATTGAGTAGATATTGTTTAATAAACAATTTTCTTTTATCTTAAATAAACACGTAACGAAATAAAAAAAAAAAATATTAAATAAGAATAAGTGATATTTTTATAATATTTTTTCACATTTTTTTTTCTACCATCTTTTTTTCGTGCACTTTCTTTTTGGTCTTGTACTTGCTTTTTCTTCTTCACTTTCTGTAATTTTCTCTTCAATTTCAGAAATTTTCTCTTCATTATCATCTTTTGTTTTAGTATTTTGTAATTTTCTTTTATTTGATTTTTTCTTCACTTGTTGAATATTCGTGGTATCTAATTCTTTACTCTTTTTTTCTGTTAAATTCACATTAATTTCAATTTCACTATTCACCAAAATATCCTCCAAGACATTATTTTCATTTTCAACAATTTTCAAAATATTTGCCACATTGGCATCCATTTTCAATATATTCGCTTCATTCGCCGCAATATCCAAAATATTTGCTTCATTTGCAACTATTTCCATAACATTTGCTTCAATTGTATTTGTTTCATTGTCATCATTAAAATTATTAATATTTTCTTCATTTTTTTTCTCATTATTCACAA